CATTCAGGCTGTCAATTGAGTCAATAAGTTATCTCCAACTGCCTTTGTTTCAGGGTCGGCAAACCCTCTGATCAGGCGGAGGTACTTATTCAAATAAAATTTATTTTCAATTGCAGGCTTAATGCTCCTGGCACAAGCCCGGTGTGACAGCAGCTCCTGCTCAAGGCGAGCCTATTGCTGAAGTTCATGTGTATCGCCCGGATCCTTTGATCTGTCAGAGCTGCTTAACAAGCTGGTTAAAAACTGCTCAGCAAACAGGTGTGTCCTTTGAGGATTCACGGAAAGCAGCGAAACATTTTGCAACTAATTTAATAGATTTATCCACTTAGTCAACAAACATGATCTGACAGTTACTGCTGAGATTCATCGGGGCCGTTTTGTCAAGTTGTTTCAAGACACACAAAAAAAATACTCACATATATTCATTTTCCCAAGACGGGGTTTTCTTATGAATTATTTTTTATTAATCTTTTCAGAATTGATAACAGAAATGGCAACAGAATGGGTAGGTGCATCAATTTAGCGGCCCGACATGATACATATGACCATTTGCTGCTGAATTGTTTTGCAAGATTTTGTCAGTCAAAGGTTTTTCACCTCTGGTTGACAACAAAATGTATTGTTGCAGATGCCTCGATTGGACTTTGTGGGAAAAGCTGTGCAAGAAAACCCAAAGCTTTGGAAGCTTTAAAAACGATCTGGAAACGTGTTACCCGATAGTTCAGAGATTAAATGATCTCTCTTTCGTAAATTAAAAAAGAGATGATATATAAAGTCCATAGCAAGTCTGTCCTTTTGGGAAAACGTTCAGCATTGTTTTTGCCCTCGGATCAACACAACAATAGAATAGTAAAGTGTGTATTTTCTGGTCAATTTCGAATCAATTTGATTTATTCGAAAACACCCCAGTTGGTGATTTTATGTGCAAGAGGAGACGTCAGTAAACAGATTCCTGAAAATCGCACGTATCCTTTGCAAAATTAAAATGACTTCAATGGACTGCTCAGTGAAATGCAAACTGCTTTGCCATAGATTTCAACACACACCACAGTGAAACGTGTGTAACATCACTGGAGGCTGTATTCGTTAAGGAAGCAGTGTCCGCAAATTACTGTTAACGGTTGTAATTTTAACATTATTTTGATATTAAAATATACAGTTTAGTTTTCTCTAGGAAAGCAGTATTGCATTGATCGTAAACAAAGACTGTTATAATTTGCAGTGGGGGGGGGGGGGGGGGGGACATAGATCATTATTCTGTGCTTTTGTATTTGAAACTGAATCGCATTTTTGTAACTTTTCGATTCGGAATCAAAACGATATTAAACGAAATCACCCCAAATGAACAGCATTTATTTAGATGTTTGTATCGTAAGACAACAGCTGCAATGGTTCTGAGCTATATATGTCTGGGTAGTAAAAAAAAATGAAAATTATTTGGTGTAATCTAGCTAATGCCATAAGCAAAAGGAACACATTTGCATAAAGTTAATCTTGCTCCATCTGCCAGTCCATTCTGCGCCTCTGCTGCTCCGCAGTGTTGTTTTGCAGCGAAACCAAAATGTTAGTTGCAAACCTTTTATTGTGCTCACGGTGTTAACAGTAAATCTGGGGAAAACAGAACAAGGGGATTCCCATCTATAAACATACAATAGGGACAATTCCCTCCCTCATTTCCATGACATTACAAGTGGATGGAATGCATAATCTTGCATTACGGTTCCTCTAAATCTACGGCTGTGAAACCCGCACTCTGTGTCTCTCTAATGTGTTCCCCTTCATTGTTCACAGAGAACAATTAGTTTGTAATCTCTGCAAACACATACCCTCTCGCCCAGTTACTCTAAACTTCATACAAGTAGCAAATGGCGCAGTAAATGAAACAGTGCGGCACTTTGTGACTGCCTCACCATCAATCACTTCCATACTTCGGAGTTGTAGTAATCCGTTTTGTTTATGCGCTGTTGAATTGGTCCGGATTCGCCTTCATTTCCAGTCGAGGGACGTTTTTTTAGTTGGTTTCTTATTTATTAAACATAGGCGTTGGGACTTGTGCTTTCCTGGCTAGTCATGTTTCAATAGTGTGTGAAGCTAAACTGCCCATGGTTTGGTATCTACACAGATGCAACCAGAAAACTGATTTATGTCGCTTTATGACAGAATTTAGCACAGACACAAGAACATAGAACAGACAGATTCGCTCTATCCCCACAGGACGGTTCTGTACTTTAAGATTTTAGGGACAAACTGACTTGACAAGTACAGCGAAAGCAAAAGTTATTGTAACTAAATGGTTGGTTATTTGTTGCGACAGCCCAACCTTTTGGTGTATGGAAATTCGTGTTTTATCATAAATGAGTTCCTTATACTTTATTTTCTAAGTTTTGCGTGGATTTAAAAGAATTGGTTTGGGGCGAAACGGGAAGGAGAGAGGATGGGAGTGGGGGGGGAGTGAAACCAGAATTTAATTTAAAGCTATTCATTTGAAAGGTTTTGCCCAAAGCCGCCTCCAGTAAAACAATCAATTGAAACATTCAGGAATAATATCAGGATGGAGTAGATGGTTATAAATTATAAAGCATTTCCATCTGCATTCATCTCTTAACTCGGCGCATGTATTTATTTATAGCATCTTGAAATTCTGGGGTGTTTGATAGGATAATTTGTGTCATTTTCTTAACGGTAATCACTGCGTTTCTGATTCGATCCAATGTCTTATTTATATGTAAGGTATTACTTGTTAAAAACGAGGGAGATAAAACGACGTCTCACCAAAAGTCTCAGTGTGTAAAGGAGAGGGGATGCGATGGGATGGTTCGAAACAGACTCGATGAGATAATCATCACATCGAATCTGTTACGAAACGCCACTATTTTTACTCCCACGACGTTGATGCCCATTCCGGACACATAATCCGACGGAGTTCATAAAGTAACTTCGCCTCCAAAAAGATATAAGAAGCAGAAAGCAAGAAAGAAAGCAAGAAAGCAAGAAAGCAAGAAAGCAAGAAAGAAAGAAAGAAAGAAAGCAAGAAAGCAAGAAAGAAAGAAAGAAAGAAAGAGCGGTGCGTTCGTTGTGAACTGCACTGTTTCAAAATGTGCGATGCGCCAAAAACCATGAGAGCATTGATCAAACATGGTTCAAAGATCACTAGCGTTTATTTTCATCTTTCAAGGCATTGGCAACAACCCGAAGGCAAGTCTGCCTCTTTGGGTGAAATCCGCATTACTTTTCGGTGAAATGAAACCGTGTTACCAATTAGGTGAAAGGAATTCGTGTTACCATTCGCTAAATCAGCGCTGCTCTGAGCCCACAGCCCACAGCCCCCAGGGCTGAGTCCTCCTGAAGCTGCTGGGCTTGAACTTGAAAGGGTCGCAGCGAACCAAGAGCCGTGCAAGTTGCTCATAACGCGAAGCCACAAGCCTTTCCAAACCAGGAGAGCAGCGGGGGAGGACGCCACGACAGGTTTCCAAAGACTAATCGGATCAACGACATGGGATGGAGAAATCTGAACTTCCCATTCCTCAGCCTTCATCGTCGGTGCAGAGTTTTTGCCCCAAACATCATGTCACACAGTAACTGTACTCACTGGGGCTGAGATGCACTGATGTTGCTGATGGTATTTGACTCACAAGTGCAGGTCCAGGCCGGGGCGCTGACCTGCCCTTATGAAAAGTGAGATGACAGGATTTACGGACGAAATTAGACGGATTTATTACAACTGCACCTGCCCACCTACAAGGGTTTAATCCCATTTACAGTTACATTGATAAAATACCATCATACGCAGTTGTACTTATACATAAAGGTGCCTGAATGCACCTCTCCTAAAGTGAATGCACACCACGGCTTTGACCAACTTTCCTGTCAATCATCTAACATAAAGTGTGGCAGCAAAAAATCACAGACTACATTTATTGAGTGCAACCCGTGATAATAAAGCCCGTATCCCCCAAACCACTGCGGGATCGGGAGCCCTTTAATACTGTGAATGAATTGCCCTCCATCACGTTGCATTCGCCTTCAGTCAGTGCACTTTACAGCACATCATGTGAAGCGCTTTGAGCTGTCCTCCCAAATGCAACGATTATTATTGCATCCATCGCCCCAGTATGAAATTATTATTAGCAGCAGCAGCAGCACGGCTTAGATGAAACAAATCATACGAAAGAACTGAATTCAAACAGTGAGAGATGATCTCGGGCTGTCGTATTATTTCACCAAAAAATAATTTTAAATAATAATAATAATAATAATCCTTGCATTAATGTCGGGTGACCTCTCTTCAACGTTTAAACGTTCAAAGTTTCCCAGGAAGCAGCCAGAAAAGCGGCTGCTCCTCAGGTCGGGTGGAGAGTCGGTGTGCGAATGAACAGTTAACAACCAACAACAAACTGAGACTGCTTCCTCCGCTCGGGTTTTTTAAACGGGTTTTATTGAAACGCGATCATTCGGGGAACACCGGGTGTTAATAAATATATCCATAAGTCGTCGAGATAATACAAAAATAAAAGACACGAGTGTTGTCTTCGATGTGTAACAAAATAGTCGCAGCAAATGTCGAAGAACAAGAGATTTTGTTTTTTTGCAACGAATTTGTTTATCACAAGCCATGCGGATCTGGGGGAACATGGACAACAGACGAGCACCCAACTAAACACTAGCAATCTCATTACCTCTGGCACTAGAGAAATTCCAACACTGACAACACCAGCTCCTGTCTGTCTGTCTGTCTGTCTGTCTCGCTCGCTCTCGTTCCCATTTGCACTGTCCCCCATACTTCTGCCCCGGTGGATTTCATTTTATACAGTCACAGAAACAGGGCTCTGAAATACTTAAATTACCACCCCCCCCCCCCCCCCCCCACCCCCTCACCCTTTGTTGCAGGGAAATGCATTTTGATAACGTCTTGGCTACATGAGATACCGTTTGGAAAATAAAATTCACAGATTATTATTATTAGTTTTTGTTTAATGCATGCATGCAATCGGATCTGGCTGTTGATGTTAGCTGGTAATTTCGGGTTTAAGCAGCAACCCAGGACAGTCTTATTTTTAATGCAACTCAACACGATCAGCCTTCTTATACAACACGGCGTCTCATTCTGAACAACAGTCACAGCTGGCAAAATTCAGAGCTTACTTCAGTAAGTCTTTAGCTTCTGTAGAGAGTCTTGGCAAGCTGGATGCGCTTATGGTTGAAACGTGGGGTGGCTGTGGCACTTGGCAGACGCTACAAGGACATGGCAGACCTGCCCAGTGCTGGAAGGTGCTTCCTAGCGGTACTGGAGGAGCTGAGGACGTTTTCAACAGTGTGTGAGGGGGCCTCACTGCGCTGATCCCGGGTAGGGCTGCCGACAGGGAGGGAGAGGAGGTCAGGGCAGTGCCCAGGATGGGGTGGATCTGATGGGCAGATGTGGAATGTCCCGGGTGCCCAGCAGGATGTCCTACCGTCCCGCAATGGAAAGCAGAATGATGGCCGCCGTAAATCTCCCCTACTAGTCTTTTCATCTCTTCCAGAGAGTTCGACAACATCAAGATGTAGTTTCTGGCCAGCAGCAAAGTGGCGATTTTGGAAAGTTTCCTCACTGACGGTCCATGGGCGTAAGGCATCACCTCTCTGAGGCCATCCATCGCCAGGTTCAGGTCGTGCATCCTCTTGCGCTCTCTCCCGTTGATCTTCAGCCGGAGATTCTGCAAGTCTTGCTCAGAGAGCTGCTTTTTTATTTTGAACTTGCCTCCTTGCTTCTCTTCAGATCTTTTGAAATTGTGGTGGTCGTTGGCGAGCTTCTGCAGCAGATCGTTCTGCGTTGAGGACACGGAATTCATCCTGGAGTCCTGGTGTTGGTGATGATCTCTCAGATACATCTCGTCCATCTCTGGCGAGGAAGCTCTGCTGGATTCAGAGCTGGAGTCTGAATTCATCTTATCGCCTCTCGCTTCTATGGAATGTCCTCTGGTCAACAGTTTAAGACCTCGTTTGGATGCCAACCTCCAACGCGAGCACGAGAAAGGTGCAAAGAAAAAAAAAGAGCACAGCGTTTCCTGCAAAGCTCGGGCTTTTGCACAACTCCAAAGCAGGCTGGACCTCTTGTCCAGTTGTGATGTTGAACGAGATGTGGTGTTAAAAGAAGCTTTTTATAGAGGTGGCAGAGAGCATGGAAACAAAAGCTCCCTCCTATACATAATGGTCTTGTTAGTATGACGTGGAGATCATTGAGGGCGGCGCAGCTTTGACGGTCCCATTTAGCTATGTCCTATTCATATTCATTGTTTTTTTCTTTATGGGACACCCTGCCACGGACGATTTGAAACCAGAGAGAGAGAAAGGGGAGACAATGTTATGCTGCGCGTATCGAACAGCAGTTTCGCATTCAAGCCCTTTAAAGAGCAATATGTGAATGGGCTTAAAGTTTGTCCATCGGATAAATCAGCAGTTGCTACATTTACGCACAATTTTAAATCAGCGAAGGGCTTCGTTATTCGAAAACCGGAGGGGATCTGCTGTTTTGTTCAGACAAAAAAATAACCGAAGCAATAATGTATATTTTAAGAGCTCCAACAATTTGCATCATTTTTCATATGCGTTGCATTTCAGGTTACCTGTTCGACATCGGCGCAAAGATATCACAGCGGTTTAGCCAACAGACAGTAACCGAATGACATGAACTTTGCAAATCTCGTTTTTAATTCTAGTTTTTAATTTTCATATTTTCTTACCAACGACTAATTTTAGGGGATTTATATATACGTATATTTTAAAAAACAACGCATCTGTTTCAGCGACAGCGGGATAACCGTCCATAGTACAAGGTGGTAGGTTCTAATGAAATATTTGTTATCTAAAAGCGCGATTCGCTTCACAGAATGGGACAAGGCGATGGGGAATCTGTGGGTGGAAATGTAGCAAAGCAAGTGAAAGAGAAACGCCTCCCAGCGACCGAAAACTGCAGAACCCCAGAGAGTGAGAGAGAGAGGGAGAGAGAAACTGCAGGACAAGGGACTTGCACAATAAATGTAGATGTCACACTAACACAGAGAAACAGTCCTCTCTGGTCAGTAATATTTAAGGCATTGCTTATGTTAATGCCTATAGTACAACAATCTGTATGGACGCTTCTGCATTGTGTGTGTGTGTGTGCTGGGGGGTCATTTCTTAGATATGTGGAATAGACAACAAGCATGAACATAACTAGTTTATGGAGTTAATGCATGGTACACACACACACTCCCGATAAACACGGGACTCTGTATTGAACTGGTGTACTTTCAGGGATTGTTTAATTCCGTTTATTAATCACAGCATCGATCACATCCGAGAAGTTTTGCTGAAGCTTTTTGTGAACTTAACGGCTCGGTAGCATTAGGGCTGATGAGAGACACACACACACCCTCAAGGCCAGTGAACTTCTGTTCAGTTAATTGCCAACATTTTAAACGGGTTATACATTTAGAGGAATGTGTTTAACGACTGTTCCAAATCCGCCAAGACAGATAGTGAAGGGTTCAGATCAATACACACATGTGTTGTCTCTGTCTCCGTCTGGATGTATCTATATACTGTATATATTATATATGTGTATGTGTGTGCGCTCTGGGTAAGTGCTCGTGTAGTTGTTTCTGAAAAATGTATATATATTATGTATATATATATACAGCATCTGCAGTATTTTGCCTTTTATGTATATGTATGTGTGTTTCTATATCTATGTCACCGTTTCTTTCAGCGCCCAATTTGAAGGTAGAGAGAAACGGAGCCAGACCGGAGTTGTAAGATTTCTCTTAGGCTCTCATTCATTCTTAATGCAAACATTCACACGGGGTTAGAAAACTTGCGAGTGGGTGAGAGGAGGAGAGAGGGGATGCGATAGTGATAAAGTATTTTTTTAAAAAAAACGCACATCGCAGACCCCCAAACAATCATTGAGTCTTAATCTTATACTTCAATAGATAAAATCAAGTCTAACTGTTCACCACCAGGTTGATTTGTATGTTGGAATAAACTGCGCAGCTGTTTGGAACATTGCACAATCACTTTTCCACCAGTTTCAAGTATTAGCATTGAATATTATATATAATTTAGACATAAAAAATATAACATATCAAATGATATAAAACGGGGTGGTGTCTTCATTTCAATCTCCCAATTTTACTGGGATGATTTTCTCCTCTTGCTCATTGTGGTTGGACTGCAGTGACCTGCTCCCGACTGCCCGGCTGCTGCACCAGCCCAGACCAGGCAAGAAAGATTGGTCCCCACAGCGATAAGTACACAGACAGATCATTGAAAGAAAATGCTCTTTCAACTCAGCCCAACCAACTTTAATAACCTGGAAAAAGTTACAGAATGCAAACAGTTAACGTGGGTTTAGCCCTCATTTGTCCAGAAATTGATTCGATCAAACGGAATATCTCAGCGAAGTGTAGCGCTTGTATCATATTGCCCTGAAATCCTGTTAAATAGACTTTATTTGGGATAGTTTTCAATTAGGATTTGTTGTTTGTTTTCCCCTCGCTTTTTGTTGTGATCTTGCACGTTTCCTGATTCACACCCCGAAACCAGAAACAGGGGCACCAGCCACCGACCCTCCAAATAACAAGTCAGAGTCCTTAAAATGATCTATTTCACAGAAGCAGATGAGCAGTTTACTGTATCCAATGCTACGAAATAACTCGCGTTTTCCATATTAAAGATGGAGTGACACTCGAATGCTAATTGTAAAATCCTATAACTTTATAATGGTTGACCAGCTGGAAACCGTAGATTCCACCCATTAACACGTATTGCAGCTTCAATTTATAGTTTCAATAGTTACGACTGTTCTTTTCTATCGACTGAAGCCCACAGGTAAGATTCTTGTTGGTTACACATGTAAGGTTCGGTATTGCACTCTTGAATAAGAATATCGGTTTACCAATAGATGCATGCACACTCATAGATACTTGAATGTATTCATTGCAACTAAATGAGGTGAAGAAAACACGCCTGGTTTGTGCTGTCTGTGATTTACAACACACTTCCTAAACCAATAGGAGTTTCAACTAATGCAACGAAAATTACAATCATGGTCGTTTAAAATTGTCCCTTATGACCGCACCCGCTTTGCACACACAGATAATAATAATATTCCTTTCACTTGAAACGCTGAGAGCAAATTTGAAAGTAAATGCTGAGAGAAAATTGAGGATTTTGGTCCCATTATGTAACAGCATAAGTTTGCTCTGCACAGCAAACGGAAACACTTAGAACTTGTCGGAACATACAAATAACGAGGACCTCATGTTATCTGCATCGTGTTTTACATATATTCACCAGTGAGATGGAGAAATTTAGTAAATAGTGCATATATGCAATGCAGTCGTCGCCTTAAACTGCTTGTGGTGTGGCGGGTCAGCGCTGCCACTTAGGACTGTGCAGAATTCTGGAGAAAAACTCCCTTCCCTCCTTTTTCTCTCTTGGTGGCATTTGGAAATGTAAAGCTTTGAATACCAATTGCTTGAACTGGACATATGTGAATCTCTTCTAATCCTACTAATCTGGGCTCCAAGTGCCTCTTTGTACGAGAAGACAGCACACATAGATCTAAGTGAGAGTGGCCAGGAGCCTGGAAATCTTTTAAGTGCCCAGTGTGAGAGAATGGACAGGGGAGAGCAAAACTCTCGGCGGAGATGTTGTCTCAGAGGGATGTCAGGGAATCTCCTCACCTATTCCGAGCTGTCCCAGGAAAGGAAATCAACCCAGCAGGAAAGCACATAGACACCGCCACTGCACACTCGAGCAAATCCGCTCAACTGGAATAAAACATTCCCGATGCCGGGGTCAGAGTGTGTGGTGGAGGGAACTGATCAGCACCTTGTGATCCCAGCGAGGCTGGGAGAGAGCACTGACACAGCCAGACCGCTTCATGTGAAACACCCCGTCTGCAGATTAACTTGTCTGATTCCACTCGAGAGGCTTCGTAAATTCATAATAACTATGCAATGCGACTTAAATTATAACAGTGGAGTCACAACTCTTACCATTGTTTTGCTTGAAATAATATCAAAGAAGCTGACTTGATGTAGGGGATTGCTTGAGGGACAGCTTGTCTGACAATGAAAATTAAAATAACATTTATTCCATCGCGACAGCAAAACCCTCTGTGTGGATGGCACACGTCGTTTTATTACTTTGGATGCATAACGTTTTCCACCCCATCCGAAGGAATACAAACGAAATTATAATAATAATAATATTTGCATTTGATATAGCGCCTCTTCACACCATCAAGACGTCTTAAAGCACTTCACAGGACACACTGACTGTATTTTATGGGCCAAACACAGTAGCAATTTACTTACCTCAGACCTTTTGCTCACTAGCTTTAAGTATGTACATGTCAGGAACTGCAACCCCCAAGTTAGAACTCAACAAAATATCAAATGAAGGTGCCTGTAGATATAAACACTGACTAGGAGATCGAGAGAAGGTAGACTAGAACGATTCTATAGCTATTAAACACATTTAGCAAAGAGAAAAAGAACTGGTTGCCAATTTAAGAGATTATTTTTTTGGAATTTATCTATTTCCCACATTTACCGAGGTTTTAATTCTTTCATAAATCTTGCTCATTACAGCTTTGAAGATAATGTGCCATTTGGTTCAGTTTTGCAGTGTAAGTTTTGTAAGATCAAAGAATCGTATTAACCATTCTAATAAATTATTCTTAAATATTCTAGATCTATTCACTGGTAATTTACTTCGAAATGGTTTGCATTTTATAAAATGTCACCTGCACACTGGAACAGGGATCAAGCTGAAGGATGTTTTATTTACTAATTTCTTTAAAGGGCATTTCATTCCTCACTCTGGCTTCTGAGCTGAGGTTAAGGCAGAATCTTGATTGACGAGAGACGAGACAGATGTTAGTGAGATAGAACAAATCGAAAAATCAGTCTGCCTTTAAACTGGACACTGTTTCTGACCTCTGGACTCCCTGCCTCAATCCCTGCACCTCGCCCCTCTCTATATATCTTTGCATCCCACCTTTAGACCTACGTTTTCAACCTATGTGATCA